GTATAGGGGCGATAGGAGGAGGGAGGAAGCTCATGTTCAAAAGCCTTTGCACTTGCAACTTTGCTGGTCATTTGAAATTCTATGGGGCAGCCATCGGCTTGGCAAACACTAAACCAGATCGCGAACAGATATTCATTATTTTGAATAACAAAGTGTACGGAAGAAAAAGGGAAGAGAGCGGAAAAAAGGAACGCGAACTACTTTGTCGCCTTTATTCGAATGTTACCGAGAGGGCAATTATCCTGCGCGCAACCGAAGTGTGTACCGTGACGCGGGAAACACGAACCTCCGAACGGCGTCGATCGTTCTGATTGCTTTGTCGAGGGCAGCAGCAGGTTGTGATAAAGTCCTCATTAAGAGCGACTAATTAGTGATTTTAGTATTAAATTAGTACATACGACTACCTATCTATAGTATTATCTTACATACCTATGTCTTGTATTCCATAAAATACAGTTTCATTTTCTTTAGTACACTAGACATTAGATAATTCTACTAGAACTTGATATTATATCTCTGAATAGTATTTTAATACAAATTAAATCTAAAATGAAAGTTAAAAAATTAATTCCCGGCCGGAAATGTCTTATTGCAAAAAATAGTTGACCGAATTTAGTGTCATATTGAATATAAAAACCACAACGGGTACCTAGAATGGTATAAATCTATAAGCGTACAGCACTTGATAATTAATTTTACACTATACGAAAGCGTCGTTTCACATGCATCTATTTAATATAATCGTCTCTTACCAAACATTGGCTTTAAGTGGCCACCGGTTGACGCAATTGCGCGATTTCGGTTCTTCTTGCGCGAACGAGTGAAATCATTTGTTCTAGGCGAGGTTCGCGTGAACGGCAGTGTAAACGAAATTGTAATAACAGAGTCCCGTAACGTTGACTTCCGATATGCACGGCCGACCTTAGCCCAGTGCCCGCTCCGAGCAATTATGATCTTGCCTTTGTTTACATGAATCGAAAGGCACGCAAGTACTGTCACAAAAACTGGCTTGCCCTGCTTGCGGGTATCCGTTAGCAGGATGCAAAGCACGATTCGAATGTACAGGAGTCATCGCGCCGTGGAACGTGCAGAAACACAAACATGTGCTGTTAAGGTTACAAAAACAATTGTTCCGAGTCGCCAAGGATTAGTTGTGTACTAAGAAACATTGTAACGACAATTCTTGCCACTGCTATGTGGAAGACTTTAAGGCCCGTACTGTATCGCAGGAATTATCGGAACAACGTAAAACTCATTGAATAACCTACTGTGCAAAATATTCGACGATTCAATCAATTTTGATTACTTATTTAACAACCCACCACTAAATTTCATTATTTATGTTTCTAATAATTGTGATTTATTAATATATAATATGCATAAGTTATTTGAAAGTGACATGAAAAATGGAATGCATCGATAACCTTGAGCAACAATAAAATTGGAAAAAATTGGTTATTTATCGTGTAACGTATCGAAAAATAAGTGTAAGTAGATAAGAAATTCGATAATGATAATTACACGTTTGCACTTCTGTATTTCTATTTGACAATTTGGTTTACCTAGTATATCGAGTAATGCACATATCGTTTTGGACGATTAAACTTCTATGCATGAAATAACGGAAGGATAATAAAGTAAAATAAAACTTACGAAAATCGGTTTTCTTCGCATCCGTCTCCTGCCTGTTTTTTTTCTTATTTTGATTTGTTCAAATAAGTTGAGTGTCACCTTAATTATCACCGGTAAAATATTACTCGATTCTAACCCTTTTGCGACATGCCGTTAAACACCGGTACCACGCGCGGCGAAAACTCATTTTGGTGAGTACATATCGTTTCCTTAATACGAATGTCAGATCTACAGTGTCACTCGTCAGAGGGTCAGGAGTTTTCGCATCATCGTACCACGATGATGGTTAAATGGTGACAGTATTTTGAAAGATAACCGATTTCCGCGAAAAACTCGCAGCTATTCCGTCCGTACGCTGCCAGCAGCGAAGGCGACTGAAAACAGAGAATCGGCCGGCGAATTGTCGGTCTCATGCACACCCTTGTCACGCGTCGAAAACTAAAATTTGATCCGGAACTGTTAGCGCCCTCTTACGGAAGCAAGAACATTCCTTTCATCCACACGATATTTTCAATCGAGCTATGTTATCCTTCTATTCATCGAAAGTTGTGAAATCCTAGAAAGTTTTATGCAATACTTATGTTCTTACATAGTAATATTAATATTTTAAATAATATAATAATGTAACTTGTACTAATAGATTTTACAGTATCACAGACATTTTAAATTTGTGATAGTATAGAAAACGAAGAAACTAATAAAAAATATGCATAATTTTTATACGAATTTTTCTTTTCAAACTAATTCACACTTAAATTATTATAATCTCGTGTAAAAATATAAAGTTAATTCTTTCAAGAAAATATATTATAGTACAAAATTTTTGTACGTTATATCCAAATGTAGTGCATAAAATTTTGTTTGGGTAATGATTTCATACTTTTTGCGCATAGGATGCATTGGATGTTGTTTATATGTAGGTGGTAAAGATCATTATGTGCAATGCATTTATTTTAACACACGCAAAATTAATTTCTTTTAGATAAGACAAAAAGTATTGCTGTATAATGTATGTTAATCTTTTTACAAAGAACTAAAATATATAAACTTTCTATTTTTCATACTAAAGTAAATCAAACGACGTGTTTTTATTTTGGTTTAGATATATTTCTGTTTTTTTCACAATACAGTTCCATTCTGTTGGTAATACTTAAGCTCAATAGCTCAGAACAAACAAAATGCATGTTCTGTGAATTTACAATCAATGAAATATGTGAAAGAAATATTCTGTTATAAATAGTATTATCATTTGACTACAAACAGTAATACATTAACCAACAACTAATATATCACCAGTCATCTCATACTCTGGAACTTCCAAGTTTAAAGGTGCCGGTCCTTTCCTAATCCTTCCACTAGCATCATAATGTGATCCATGGCAAGGACAATAGTAACCACCAAAGTCACCAGAATTTGCAATTGGAATACATCCTAAATGTGTGCATACTCCAATAACAACCAACCATTCTGGTTGCTTTACACGTTCTGCATCAGACTGTGGGTCCCGAAGAGATGCAACATCTACCTGTGATTCCTTTTGAATTTCACTTGCTGACCTATTATTACATATTAATTATATTTATTTCATAAAAAAAGCATGAAATATAAATATTTACCTGTGTCTTACAAACAAAGGTTTACCACGCCATTTGAACACAGCACTCTTTCCTTCGGGAATGGTTCGAAGATCTACCTCTATTTTAGCCATAGCTAATACATCTTTGGAAGCACTCATGGAGTTTAATAAACCACTTACAACTGACTTTGCCATATATGCACCGCAAATTCCAGCGCCTATACAGCAAATAAAAATTTGTTTTTTAAAAATATTAAAATATTTCGATAATATTAACTCACCCGCAGATGCAATGTATGCATATGTTTTTCGTGCAGGTGCACTTTCTTTAGATTTACTTGTTGGATCTGTTACTATACGATATGGTGTAAAATCAGGCCATTGAATATCCGTATGAGCTAATCTTTTTTGCAATGTTTGGGTCGCACCTAAAATTATAAAGCTTTATATGAATAATATCTTCACCAACAATGAAGGTATGATTTTCAATCAAATAGTTTAATATTATCATTTATGATAAATCAATCATGAAAGATAGAGAAAACATTTGTTTTCTTTATTTTCACATTGCATTCTTTACACAGTAATTTAACTGATAATATAGGAGTCTGTATACCGTGCACCCTGTATACGACACGATTATATAATCAAAATATGAAAAATCGTAATTTACTAAAATGAGTATAAAAAAACCAGTTAAATTCAATTTAAAAACAGCTTCGAACCTGTGATTCCTGAGCTTACACGTAAAGGTCCAGATAAAAGATTATCAGAAATACTGTGATTAACCATTAGGGTGACGGTAGGTTTAACGACAGTTTTACGTTTCAAAACAATACCACTACCAGCTGTGGGTCGGAGTCCAACGGAAACAACAGTTGTCGCCGACTTTAAAAGCGGCGACATGTTCGCCGATTTTGCCACCACGTTCATTTTTACTTCCAACGTACGTAAGAACGAACGGAGTGTTCTTCTCGACACTGACCAAAATTCCTAGAACTACAATGTTAGATGGCTCTGCTATACAACGATCATGTAATTTATAGATACTACACAGTATATGCTCAATAGTGAGCAGAATTTATATATTACTTATTTCCCAGTTTTTCACAGTTTTATACTTATATACATTTATTACAGTATCAAACAAACAATATTGTTTATAATTCTATAATAATATAATATTAGATTAAACATGAATCAATTTTCCAATGATAATACATTATATTCTGTAATAAATAAATGTATATTCATAAAATTAAATACGAAACTATGTATATGAATTAAATTATTACGTGATTATTAATTATACTATGATTAAATCTTATTCCTTCTCTATCATATTTAGATCGCTTACGTTCAGTGGTTCATTTCAGTAGTTCAACAGTTTTGGAATTACTAATATATACTTACACTATATATTTTTCTCGATAAAATGCTTTTTTACAAAATTTTGTATCCTAACTTTAGAATTTCTAAAAATCCTTCTCGTAAATATTTTTCTTATGGAAAATGAACCTGTTGATGGAATATTAACATAATCAGAGCATAAAAAGTTCAAAAATTACGAGAAGTGACATTGAAATGATAAAATAATTTTTACCAAAATTTTTCATCTTAACTGTCTTAAATTCTTCTCGCAAATATTGTGTTTATGTAAAATGAAGCTACGTCCAAAATTTCACCCCTTTAGCGTTTATCAGGTTTTCGGATGTTTCGCCTTTTTGAATAAAAGGAAGTGATTAGATGGCACTAGAAACATTCCGTAGCTGGCAGTATTTCCTGTATACAACATCAGAGAGCTGAAGATTTATAACGATTTTTTAACAACATTAAAAACAAAACATCAACATACTAGTTTTGAATACATTTAAAATAGTCTCTGCTAAGCTTTACATAGTTTAAGACACGTACAGACAATGTATTATATTTATACAATGTATTTTTTTGTCTAATGTTCTAAAATACCGACATCGTCAAAAATGCGGTGATACACTAGCGAACTCTACCTGAATTTGTGCCGGCAGCTTTTAACAGTTTGTTAATAGAGGGCTACAGGACCTATGAGACTTTCTCGCTCTTACTCAATTCTAAGCGATTTGTACTGTGTGTTGTTTAGAAAATGAAAGAAATGCAGGTCTAATCAGTTAGCTTTCATCTTTTATCATTTTATTTTTGATACTAATTTGTTATTCGTCACTACGATACACACAACTAATCAAAACCATAAACAAAATCCCTAGTGAGAGAGCCCTCTTGCCCTCTATTATTCTGGGACTCAACTTCTGAGAAATGCGAAGAATAAATACGGTAAATAAGGCATTTGATTACAATTGCTTTTTTTGGAGGTATTAAATACTGATGTATCGGTTCGACCATGATTTTTAAACTTGCTATTTTTAATCATAGAGAGCATTTCAAAATGTTTGAACACAATTAGTATTTCAGACTATCGAACATGAACTTGCATAAGAAATTCTACCGATTTATGTTTCGTTGGTAACATTACTATCTGTTAGTAATACAGATCCTATTTATAATATTAATTATGCTGTATCCGTAGCATGTTTCAAATAAAAAAAGCACTGGAGTAGATTATTATGTTTTGAGCCTGCAAATGGATATTTTTATAGTATCAAAACCATCAATATTGATTAATTTACAGAACCTCGCTACAGTTTTCTCTTATTTGGTTTTCGTAATTTGCTGACAGATGGCACTACTTGCATTACTGAACAGTGGTGCCATCCCATAAAAATGAACTGCATATTTATCTTTCTTCATTTAAATATTCATTAAGTAAATAATATTTATTTTGTTCATATTATTGCTTTCCCTTACATGAAATTAACAATATTAAATAACCACAGCCATTAATGTGAGGTATTGTTTTCTGATAATTACAATTTTATTCATCCAACAAATTATTATTACATGAGTCGACGAATCTATATCTTAATACTTTTCACGAAACTCATAATAAACACTTTGAAAGTGTCTGGTAATATTATAAATCACTGTATTATGAAATCTACAAAATACATATTAACTTAAAACTTTGATTTATTTCAGTTTTATAATGAACTATTTATGAAATAAATAATTTGGCAAGATTTAATTACATAGAAGTTTTTTATTTTCATTAATGGTTTTACAAAAGTTTATGTTTAACATCCCAAAATTTTAGTTCAGCTTCGCATAGAAGTGGCAGTTTAAGCAATAACGATCACAAATCATTGAATAAGGACATGTAGATCGAACGAATGAAAAACATTAGACGCGTGTCATGTCGAGAAATGTAATAACAGTTGACTTCAATATTAACGTGCGTATTCTCAATACCTTGTGTCGTGTATTGCATTACCAACGTGTCATATTAATGAAACAATAATTCAACATGTCCCGTTCTTTGCATAGTGAAACCATTCATCTGATTGTACGTGACAGGTGGTTCCTACTGTTGAATAGAAACAAATTCGTGATCAACATGTAGATTCATTCATGACATCCTTTGCGGATCGTTTTCGTTATGATCAATAATTCTGTCGATCATTATGTATATATTGTATTACTGATATAAAAAGTAATTGATTCACCGTTATCGGTGGCAGAAACTTCAACTAATCTTATAATTCCACTCTATACCTTTATTACTATTTTCTTGATTACGTATTTTATGTTATCAGACAATTTTAAATTTTCTCTTACTGAGAATTAGTCATCTTTAGCGATATGAAAATAAAATTAATTTCTGTTCAAAAGGATTTTCAAATTGTTCAAGATTATAAGACATCTAGTCAAGAAAAAGAAAAGATATAGAAATATATTTATTCACATGTTATCAATATTATAAAGACACAAGTTTTAATTATTCTTACGAAATCGAAATTCCGATTTTTAAAAATGTTAGAATTTCCTTAAAATGTTGTATTATTAAATAAACTTTCGCTGTCGTACTTTAATTTTCTTTTACTTCCTTTTGCATAGTATGTTAAAGTTTATTTCCAGCGCCATGAAAATATGAAAACAAGAGTCTAACACAATCTCCGGAAGTATCCGATATGAAGTTAAGGCAAGAAAGCAGAAGTCTATTAAACAGCGAAACATTTCAGCAAAATTTCGAAGTTTTTAACAATCGGAATTTCAGAACAGTTTCCTGTGTAATGCTAAATTGACACCCTTGTCGTTACAGTTACGTTACATTTCTCCTAATAAGAAACTTTTAAATAATGTAACAAACCTACACCTATCTTGTGTCAATAATGTAAATATAAATATTCTAATAATATTATAAATTGTCAAGATAAGGTAAAATGAAAATCGTCCATATAAAAATTGCTTCACTTGATAACAATTTAATCGTTTTCTATCTAGAACAGGATTTAACCAGCGTAACGGATAAAAAAATTGATTTCGTCTGAAAGACTGACCGCCGAACGAATGATGCTGTCAATACCTGCTGACTGCCGTTCCACAATTTTTTTTTAGCTACAGCGGTCGTGTATCACGTTCTAGAATTACACTCGGTGCACCCGAGCTGGCCGGGTGTTTGAGTTACGCTGTTTGATTCCAAGGCCGAATGTTTAAACGTGAGTAATGTCAGCATTCTTGACGGTATCCCGATATCCGCAGCAGGATCTCGAGCGGGTGTCCGACAGCAGGAGCAGCTCATCTTTTGGATGATTCAGTCGACTGTCAGGTGCTAGACGCGTTACACCGACTCCGCCCCTCCGGCTTCGGCGCCGTTTCCGGTTCCCTATAATTCTTTCCCTCGCGGTCTGTTGTCAATGTCAGTGAGATTGAAGGGAGGGAAATATGAATCCGTCAAAGTGGAATTTTGTTTCCGTGGTGATGGTGAGTAAAAATCGATACGCTGATTGATATTTCTTCCTGAATTTCTTCTCTAAACTCGGAGTGCGTGATGATTATTGTGCTGCTGTGTGTACAGGATGAGTCACTGAAATTGGTACAGTTCAATCTCTTCGTTAAATGTAACTGTACAAAAAAAATACTGTTCGACGTTATCGATTCAAAGTAAGTCCAAAAGTTTAAGTAACTGTTATGTGATTCTTCTCAAAAAATCACAAAAAATTTATTAATACTTACAAAATTTAGAAAGATTGAAACTAAATTCTCTTGGATTATATTTGATTCAAGCCCTACCTTCTAATTTTTATCTTAATATTTTTTAAAAGCACAATACACCCTTCAACGATCAACAACATTTCATCCGAAGCATGAAATTTTATAACTTTCAAAATATTAATGTTCCATTACACATTCATTAAAATTTTTTTTCGAAATTGGCTCAGTACCATCTACTTCCACAATTCTGAAACCTACGACCTTATCATCGACCACAACTCACCCCGAGAACCTTTTATCAGTCAATTTCACGACTAACTTGCTATCTCCCATCGGGACTCTTATCGCAGTTCTCGTTAATCTCTACGGTCATCCTGGACGACACGCCAGGCTCCGGGCAGCAACAACAGAAGCACCAAGCTCCGATAGCTCCGACGGCGGGCCAATCGACTAACGTGCCACCCTACTGGGACCATCTACTCCGCGAGTCCGTGTTAAAGACGATCTCGCCGCCGCCCTCCTCTAACATCAACCTGTACAAACGCTTGTTGGATGCGCCGTTTTACGGCGGTCCATTTCCGGTACTGTCGAACGACACCGACCGCGTCGTGCTGTCGCGTGGGGACGTTTATTATCTGCCAAACAGCAACTGGATCCTTTGCCAGGAGGGATGCGTCAATTGCGAAGTGTGTGCGGACCACACACATCCGGTGCTGAAGTGGGTCCTCCGACGAGTCAAGAGGCGACCATGGCACGGCCAGCCGCGACAGGACTTTCAGCTAACGCTAATCCCTCAGAAGGACGGTAGTTATCTCATGAAGAATCTTTGGCCGCGATCTTTTGTCTACGTGACCACCCCAGCTGATCAGATCGCTTATTTGAACGGTAGAATCGGTCATCATCTTGATACTCATCAAGAGAACCTTGAAAACAGTTTCACTGGACAACATCGGAAGTCTACCAACTTCTGGAGATTCGTCGAGAGGAACTCGGCCAACGAGCGACCCGTAAACGGAGAACAGAGCAAAGCGACCGAAGCCTCGGTATCTTTGGGTAACTCTAGGAGAAGCCAAGGCGCTACACCTACGCTCGAAAATACTACGCAGAGCGGTGTGTCGAATTCTGAGAGGACCACTCGTGTGAAACCCTCTGATGTATCTATGGAGAACAGTTCCACGATAAGCGAGAGCGGAAGGGATCGATTGGGACAATTGCTCCCGAAACTGATCCTCGGGACCGATCAACTCGGACAGAAACACTTGGTGCACGTGGTGCCCGCTGATGCACCGGGCAATGTAAGCTTGACGAATGTTTTGGCGCGCGGCGCTTTGAATGCCACCGGTCTCGGTCAGCACCGGAATAAGACCACTTATCAAAGGATCCTGCGGAGGATCTACGATTCGCTGAGCAGCAACAGGCGATCTATAGAGAGCTTCCTGGAACCTCCGCCGCGGACAGGTGAGTTTCAAGTTTATTATGGTATGCCGTGGGTAGATTGAGGAAGTTAAGGGAAATATTCGATTTTATAGAAATTCTCGAAGGATTTAAGACTAAAAAAATGGAATATTTTAATGAATAGTTTCTGTGAAAAAAATTAAGATTTTTAATGTATTCTATGAAACTTTATGTTTTATTATTTTCTGAAAAATTTTGTATGTTGCGAACGAGACAACTTCTGCAATCTAGTCATAATCTATAAAGAAAAAATAAACTGTTAGTTAGCTGTTAATCCAATTTATAATTTGTAGATGAAATGGATACTTGATTTTTCTTGTAATTTCTGTTTCTTTCGATAGAAGGCCATTACGTTGAAGATCATCAGCTGCAGGAAACGAGAAATGTTCTTAAGGGATTAAAACAGTTAAATAGATTACATCGAAATAATAATGAGAGATCTAGGAATGGAACTGTGGACCGAGGGTGGCCTCATGTTTTGAATTGGAAAAGACAAAGAAGAACGTCAGAAATAGGCACGAGTGCATTAATAAGTAGTGAGATTGATGTCAATCGTACGTTGAATAATAGTCATAATTTAGATTCGAAAGTACAGAGTAATATGATGAATGTTACATTTAATGGGGATAGCAATAAGAACGGGAATAACTTTGAACATTTTAATCCCAACGTAATTAATCGGTATTATTATAGCAGAAATGTAAGTGATCATAATCTGAGAACGAATAGTGATTCTGGCACAAGACAGGAAACACAATTTGTGCCAAGTAAGTTTAAAATAATAATTACCACCGAGTCGATCATGAAATCAATGAAGAATTCAGAGCTAATTACAAATTTTTGGAAGAGTGTTGGACGAGACAGTGATCAATTAAATTACAATGGTACAAGTATGCAGGAAGGTCCATTGCTCATTAGTTTAATAAATAAATCTCAACAATTTTAATTAAATTCGAGGAAATTTGTATATTGAAGGATCATAATTAATCCCTAATGCAAAGTGGTAAATTAAAAGCAGCATGTATATAATGCAGTAACAAAGTAGGGCGAGATCGCATGGTAATTAAATATAACTTTGCTTTTAAACTGTGCAGCCGCTAATTGCAACGTGACACTCAAGCGTAAAACATTTGATGAAACTGCAGATCTCTATGTTACATAAATACATTGATTAACATAATGTTACATTGTTATCCCTCTGAACAATATAAAGTTCATTTTTACCTTTTTTCTATTATCAAATTACGAATTACGTGTACAAAAATTTAATACAATTTAATACATAAATTAATACAAAAGGTTTAAAACAGTTTCAATTTGTTCTTTCACTGAAAAGATTAATGAAAGAGTCATTTTTTATATTAATCTGAAATTCATATTAATATTATATAAATATTGAATAATAATTTTCAATTAAAGCATGACAAAAATTCGTAACTCTTAATATATCTTTTTTCGAAATTGATATTTTGAAAAACCGTTTAGATAGTTAAATTTGTTATAAAAAGACACTTAACTTTTGCTTGAAAAATTTGTTTCTAAGTGAATAATTTTCAAGACACTGAGAAGAATATGATTCACTTCACATTCACATTCACATTTTATCCCCATGTTTGGGGGCTATTTTCACCTCATAAATATAAACTATTGCAGATAAAAAGAATACGTGTCAAATAATTTTTTATAAATTATATACTGTGTAAATTTGATTAAAATCAGTGTGACACTTGGATAATGTTCTTTGTTACCATATTTTGATGCTGTATGTAATATTATATGTACAACAATATACGTTGTTGATGTTATGTATTTGAAGCTTGTGCTATGAATAGTAACTCTTTCCATGAATGCCGGTAACAGAAGAATTAATTTTAAATTTAATTTTGTATCCATTATTCTATTACATACAAATTGTTCACATTGTGAACGCACAAAACCCGCAGACCAATCGCGCAATAAAACGAACTAATAGTGCCGACCCTAGGCGACGCACTTAACACCGTAAGCCCGCGAGTAGCTCCATCGCCAGCACCGCTAAGAGGATCGACCAGCCTTAATCAGGTCTGGCGCGATCGTTTAAAACGATTATAACCCTTCCTCCTCTCGCCCTTGGTGTCACGAACCGTCGCAACAGTCTCACGCATTACTTAGCGGCTCGGGAGGGCGGCTATGCGTCCCTCCGTGTGTGACCTTCGCGAGTCTGTTCAGCTCCTCTCAGTAATTGCGTGCCAATGGAAGGGGTAGGGGAACGATACACATACACCGGGTGTACCAGATATCGTGATTCAATCGAAACATAATAATTCTTCGCGCAAAAATATATTCAAAACATATATGGTTAGTTACGCGTTGAAATGGCCAATAAGGGATGTATAAAACTTTCTCCTCGCGAGGGTGTACTATCAAAAGGGTTGAAGAATTGAGTATTTTTAAAAATTTTAGCAGAGAACTAGGATCTGTGAAATTTCTACTTATGGCCAACACCTTTCTCAATAAAAACAGACTTTTTATATATTAAGAAACATTGTATATCAGTTTTTCCTGTAAACAAAGATTAAAGATCGAATTTGATTGAATTCAATGTTCAAAATATTAATGTTCCAATCACCTACATAAGAATCTTACGTATAATCTAAATGTCTTACACGTGTCCTCTGATTTACCCTTTAATGCTACCAACAACTAAAAACATCAACCACCGAACAATCATATCGCATTCTGTTGAACTCCATTCCCTGATCTCCAATCCCAACAAAAATTAATTCCCGAAAAAAATCACTCAAAAAAAATATAACAATCCTTTCAACTTCCAGGATAATCTACCCTTCAATGATACCTCAATTTCGTATCCACCCTGTACACGCGTGCACCTATCCTTGCGGGTGTCCCGAAGACGCGACGGTGTACCGTGTTCGCGCACGCAGGCTGAATTTGTGCAAGCGGGAAGCACCGTGTACCGCGAGAAAGGATGGGG